CACCCACAGCACAAAAGAGAGAAAAAAGAGTCCATCAGCAACGCCTCCTTCAATCTCGGCACTGCTCCCACGCCCTTGGTCTTATTCTCTTCCCCATGCCCAACTCTTCTGCTGCGTACCCGACGACGTGGTACAAGGCTTCGCAAATGTCCGCTAGCCCATCCGCCATCCGCCATCCGCCGCCTCCATTCTTCTGCTACCAATTTGCCAAGGGGGGTGAAGAAGGGGGAAAGGGGGGGCGTTCCAACTAGATGCCCATTTCCAAGTTGTGACTTGCCAACAGGCTGCAGCCGCTGCTTATACATGGTACATACACGCACAAGCAGCCCGTGGTCGATGCTCAACTGCAGAGATTCGACAAGTGTCCACCATCTCGCAAAGGGTCAAATGGTACGTCCTTCTCGCCATCGCCCAGCCCTTTTCCCACTCTATCCGTCGGACAGCGGCAACAATAGCTGTTGCAACAATACCCATCTTGTCCGGGAAGGGTGTCCCGCCCCAGCACCGGCGTGAACAGCATCACGCACACACACCTCCGATGATTGACTCTTCCGTGTTCGCTGGCTGCATCTCACGTCTGGCAGTGTTGGGAAGCGAGTTAAGCTTTCATCGCTCCTTCAGCACTGCCGTACGCTGCCCGTAGCGGCCATGTACGATGCAGCTCCTGGTCACACCGAGGCGGGGATGGGAAAGCTTGGGGAAACCCAACAAATCCCCAGAAACAAACCCATCATATCGCTTAGCCCATGTGTACGTGTTGGCTGCAGTGACCGTTGTCTGTAATATTCCCCGACCCAACAGCGTCTCTCGGCTGTCTGGACATAGAGCCATGACTCTTTGTACTTTCTCATCTCCGCTGCGGCAGCAATATCGGAATTTTTTGGCAATCAAAGACATGAGAATAATAAACCCCCCGTCTTGTTTGATTCTTCTCTTCTTCTCCACTCGTTACGTGTACGAGTGATTTTTTTTTCTTTCTCTCTTTCTTGTTATTGTCTTGGGAAACGCCCCTTGGACATGACCACATCACCGGCGCCCTATGCACTTGGTTCTGCACGCACACAATGCATGCATGAGACTGGAAAGAAAATAAAAAGAGCGTATTTCCACTTTTTTCAGCTGCCGAGCTTCCCATTATTCGATTGGCCGGTCTGGCTCGAACCGCCTGGCACGACGGCTTCGTGGTACGCGCCGCTTATAAGGGGGACGCTGGGGTCTGCAAGGGACCATGGTGCTGTTGGCGCGTGCTGCGGACGACCATGCTGCCTCCCTCTCTCCCTCCTTTGTCACATTCGACGTGCTGTGAGATTCATCGGGGTGTGAGTATGGCCTTGGTTGCCAAGGGTATATACGTCGTGGCTGAAGGGGGGTGGTTGTTCGTCCATGCTGAAGATCGCAGAGGCCACGCCCATTCACGATTTCTTCGTTTTAGACTTGTGGTACTATGACTAGCTGTGGAGGGCATACCTTTTTTTCTTTTCCTGATGTACACGGGGATAGGGATAGGCAGCCCCGTGCGATTGCGGCCTGAATTTACAGTTGCCAAGTGAACATTTTTGTTCCCAACATGCTATTGTCTCGCGCGGCCACTGTCGCGGCTTGGCGACGAGATAAAGGAAGGAAGGTTGCCTTCCTTGGTCCCGTGACCGGATGTCGGTCAGAGTACCGGTGGAAATGTAAAAAAAAAAAAAAATAGGAGACAAAAAAAAAAGTTGCTACTGCGTACAAAGAAACGTGCCGACTCCCGACAGCGTCCAGGTTCACGATTTGCACGCTCCAACAGCAAGTAATCAAACGTTTAATTCTCTCATCTTTCTTTGTTTTTTGCTCTTTCCTTCACCGGTTCAGGGGTGCTGGTGACAATCTTGCGACCAACACGCACTTTTCCCACGTTGGCTCGAAAACCAACATAACCACCAAAAAAAGGGGGGGGCCTCATCATCACCTGTTATCAGATATCGCCAGCACAACAAGGGGGCAGGGGGGGCTAGTGCGGGCGGTGGAAAGACACACTTGGGGAACTCTCGTCCTGTGCGGATGCTCGCTGCCCCCGAATCTCTAGATCTCGTTCACAAAGACATGCATGCATGCATGGAAGACTTGTTTCCCATGGGCAACCAACAGTCTCTTGGCCCTTTATATCACGATGGGGGCCGCCGCCAAGCGCTGTGCAAAGGAGAGTGCAGGACCTTGGGGGCAGAATCTACATGCCTTGCCGGATTGGGCAACAAACCAAAGAAAATTCGAATTCCAACCGACGTCGTGCCACGTGTTGTGACGAGCAGGGTGGACGACGGACGCACGGGTCTGTCTCTCGCTTTGATCCAACGTGTCCAGCCTTCTTTCTTCCGCTCAGTCCTCGTATGGTTTATCAGCGGCATCGCCGTCGTGGTGCTCCCTCTCACCTTCTCTCACCCGGGCGCAAGGACCATTATCGCGACAATGCTCTCTCCCTTGTTCACCAGGCCGTGGGGGATGAGATTTGTCGCATCTCAGCTCTCCGTCCAGGGCGCAGGGCAGTCCGATATAGGCGAGCAGCTGGTCAAAAAGTCTTTTGTGTAACATGCAATCTAAAACATCCGCAGGCAGCTTGCATACGAGATCTACGGATAACTTTTGTTTTTTTCCTTTTTCTCCTTCTTCGTACTCTGTATTATTATGGCTGAGAAATTAAGGAGTAAAGCGTTTGTGCGTATTGGCACCTGCTCTGCCAACAAGGCATCTGCATGCAACCTGCAAAGCACACGATGGGCTTTACCGACGCACAATATGATCTTGTATTGTTAATCTATTGTGCCAAAGAGGCTCCTCTACGCCCTTTCTTTCTTGGAGGCGAGCGGAGCGGCGGACAGACACGTCACGTCACCCTCATGACATTGGAGTACGAGCCGACACGGGCCTATTGTTGGCAACCAACGCTTGAGGCCGACGAGGTGCAGGAATGCTTTTTCGTGTTGCTCCTTGTACAATGGGATCGACGAGGGGGCCGCTGGGGAGCGTTTCAACAACTTGAGGCTCTGCCTTCTGCGCATGGTTCTTTTTCTATTGTACACACGGGCATAGATCGGTGAGTGTCCGTGGCGGAGAGAGAAGGCGGGGGGAGGCGGCCTCATTGTCTGCTCAGCCCTCTTTTTCTTTTTCTTTTTTGCCTCGTCGTGCTGCAGTTTGCATCTGCTTGGAATTCGAATCGTGCATCAAGCACACCGAATCTTCTTTGCCGTATAAACCTGGGCGTGCTTCTTGCCACGCAATCTATTGTCCTGCTTGTAGGGGGTTCCACTGCGTCCAGAGGCAAGTCTGCACGCAGGTCCATATGAGGGCTGTGAAATGATTGTCGTATTGTGTGAATGGAAATGCAAAAGAAACAAAGATCGCCACCCATATCGTGTCCAGGTGCATTGCAGAAGCTGGGATATTGCTTGATGGGAGGAGTGTCGTGAGGCGGCACTATCATGTGCAACAGTCCAGGGATAGGACCTGGTATATTTTGTTTTTTTTCTCACCGTGGCTGTCTTGTCAAGCATGGTGGACAAAGCTCGTGACGAACATGGACGGGGGAGCAATGTTCTCAGATTCAAAGAAGCTGCCACCAATTTCCAACGTCTTTTCTATCATATACTACATACATGGAAAGGGACAAAGAAGGCAAGAAAAAGCAAACATGTCGTTATCGTACCTTGTGCGACTTGACAATTCGAAAGAGGGAGCTGACATCTGCCATGACCAGCACAACCACGAATAGAAATACCGCCGCCCTTGACAGCGCTTGGAGCATTCAATTTCCCGTCAACACGCTCGGCATCGTCGTATCCCTCCCCGCAAACATATATATACTCGGCTCACCCTACACCCCACGATCCAAATTGCCGCCATTGGAAAACCCAAAGCTCATCTAATAAAACACACATTGCATCACAAATAGCCCAAAAACACAAAAAAAAGAAGTCACCCGCATGAAATCTACAATGATGGCAACGTAGCTTCCGCAGCAAAAGTGCAGCAGCATTGGAATCAATATACCTCTCGTCCTTGTAGGCCGCTCCATTTGCGTACATTCTTCGTTGATAAAAACCCAACCCGAAATACATCTGACGCCTAATCAAGACGTGAAAATTCTTGAAGCCATTTCCCAGTCCAAAATGTGACGCCAAATGTGCTTGGCTAACGACAAGTCCCACCATCAAACACACGACACATGCTTCACTTCGTCAAAAGCACGAGTGCATCATTCCACATATTTTCTAATGGCAAATTTCATATGCATGCCGTTATCATGTAGCACATGTAGAGCACACGGCCCACCCATACATATTTGGCTGGAATATACAACTACGCACGGCACGTCGCACATGTCACTTGCAAATACAACGCAGATTCCCTCGTCAGGTGTTTCTTTGGTCTCTAGCTGTTATCTATCACAGCCGCAGCAAGTCATACTTGCTGGTCTAATATCCCCCAATTCAATGGTAAATAGCGACCCCCTCCGCTTTTCCATTGCTTCCCGTACGACTGACTGACTGACTTGCACAAGCTCGGCCAGAGAAACACGGGGAATAAAAAGATGTTGAAGTTCTTCTTCAGTCCCCCAAACGCCGGTAAGCACGCTTCTCTAAAGATTTTGCCCTGGTAGGGGTATCATAATGCAAGTCTCTTTTTGACGATTTGCTTTCGCCTCACAAATGCAGGTGTGTCCCAAAAGTGTCTTTGTTGAAAGACGCCGCCACTCCATTCCCAAAATAAAATATCATGAGAGTGGTCTTCGTAACAACAAAAAAAAAAGTTTTCAGAAACGAAGAGCTGAAAATAAATAAGTATCAGATGCCAGAAACCGCCCGTCCCCACGTCCCGTGTGGGGAGATTACATGGTTTCGTTGAGAACCGTACGCCGCCAGAGTGCATGAAAATGCCGATTATAACACATCATAAGATTGGATAAGTGATAAATAGAAGGCTTGTTGAATTCCTTCCATACATTGTCCTAGGATGCAAAAAGATGCAACTTAGAACTTGAGCTGCTTGGGCTGCTCCCAGCTGAATGACTGGTTGGTGCCGAAGTGGCCGTTCTTGGCAGTCTGCAGGTAGATGGGGCGGTCCAGGTTAAGCTCGCGGACAATGACGCCGGGGCGCAGATCAAAGTTGTTGCGGATAATCTCAACGAGCTGGTCAGAGGTCTTCTCGGAGGTGCCGTAGGTGTCGACGTAGATGGACAGAGGCTCCGCAACACCAATGGCATAGGAAAGCTGGACAAGCGCACGGCGGGCAAGACCGGCATTGACCAGGGACTTGGCAATCCAGCGAGCGACATAGGCAGCAGAACGATCGACCTTGGAGAAATCCTTGCCGGAGAAGGCGCCACCACCGTGGGCACCCCAGCCACCGTAGGTGTCGACAATGATCTTACGGCCAGTTAAACCGGCGTCACCCTGGGGACCACCAATGATGAAGAGACCAGAGGGTTGGATCTGGGGATAGTTGGTTAGCCAACAACTCAAAACATCTCTTTGGGCTGTTTTGCGATGAGAAAACTTACGTGGTAAACGGTGTTGTCGTCGAGGTACTTGGCGGGGATGGTCTTCTTAATGATGTTTTCAAGAATCTGCTTGCGGAGCTCCTCGGTGGTAATGTCGGCAGAGTGCTGGGCAGACACAACCACGGTGTGCACACGGACGGGGACAACGGCGCCGTGGTCGTGCTTGTACTCAACGGTGACCTGGGTCTTGGTATCGGGGCGCAGCCAGGGGAGAGAGCCGTCACGGCGGGCAGCAGACATGGCAGCGTTGAGCTTGTGGGCGAGCTGGAGGGTGAGGGGGAAGAGCTCAGGGGTCTCGTCAGTGGCATAACCGAACATGATACCCTGGTCACCAGCACCGAGCTTCTCGAGGGCCTCCTCGTAATGCAGGCCCTGGGCGATATCGGGAGACTGCTGCTCAATGGCAACAAGCAAGTTGAGGGTCTTGTAGTCGAAACCCTTCTCAGAGTGGTCATAGCCAATGTCTCTGACGGCGTCGCGGACAATCTTCTGGTAGTCGAGCTTGGCCTTGGTGGTGATTTCGCCAAAGACCATGATCATACCAGTCTTGGTGGCGGTCTCGCAAGCGACCTTGGACAGGGGATCCTCAGCCAAGCAGGCATCGAGGATGGCATCAGAGACCTGGTCAGCGATCTTGTCGGGGTGACCCTCACCGACAGACTCGGACTATAGGGTGTGTTAGTTATCAGCCTCGGGCGCGGCGCCATATTTACAGTGTTTGCGTCTTTTTTCCCCTTCCCTTTCTCTTGCAAGAGGAGGGGAGGGGGAAGTAGGCTGCCAAACGATTTGAGCGCAGGCCATTCATTCACTTACGGTGAACAGGAAGGTGCCCTGAGGGCTAGATCCGTTGGTGCCGTTGACGCCAGGCATTTTGTGTATGTTGTAGGAGAGGATGAGGGAAAGAATGAGAGGGCAAACAAAATTCAAGTATTGGCCGAGACGAAAGGTCTGTGAGACTTCGACAGCGGGCCGGAAGGAAATAACTGCGAAGAGTGAGTTTCAAAGTCAGCGATTGATTCGTCTCTTGGAAAGCGCGAGCTGCGAAATACTAGGCAGCAGTGCAATTGACGGGTTCACATACCACTACGAGGTGACACTCGGAAGCTGACGGGCGAAGGGGGAAACTGAGGTAAGACGGGATGGGAAAGGAAGAGGAGGGAAAGGAGGAGAGGTTTTATGCCGACAATTTTCTGAGGGGGGCCGCTCGCAGCTGCATGCGCTGCGAACCCAAATGGTGGTTGGAGGGGCAGCCCAGCAAAAAAAATTGGCACGGCGGCATGTTATCGGCACAAGGGCGGGGCTAGTGTCTGGGCTGCAGTGTACATGAGGCATTGCGCTCGGCCACACGCACGGGCAGGTACCCCCGAATACGACTGCTAACAGATTGCTGGGCGCTGGCCGGATGCGATGAGGGGCAGCGACGGCCGCCACCTCTGCGGACCAAATTGCGCCATCTCGGAGCCAGTCAGCGTGGGCAGCATCCAGCGAAACCCAGTTGTTGCACGTCACCCCTGGCTGGGGATGGCACATGTACAGTTACACAAGTACATGAAGTATGATGCAAATGCACTCCAGTAGCCTGTGTTTGTGAGTTTTCAGTCCTGCCCAGATTGGAGTACTGGCCAAGAAACTTTGGCCATCATGACTAGCAATTGTGTCGGTGTTGCATCATCATCAATCTCGCTCGGCCGCCGTACTTTGACCCCCTCCCCTCAAGCACCTCTGAGACCCCGACCAACGCCAAACTTCTCCGTTGTGCCCCAGCCCAGGCCGGCCGCATATGTACTTCGTACTATGTACTCCGTATATCCCCCAGGGTCCAGTCTCTTCGCGCAGATGGACAACGTGTCTACTGGTCAGTTTTGGCGCAATAGTTTCTCCGACCTGTTGGAGCTCCGACAGCCGCTCCGACGAGCTGTCACTGGCATGGCATGGTCGGCGCTTTCGTTTTCGCGGCACCCACTGCTTTCGGCTCTTGAGATTGGAATTTCGTCTGAGACATTGGGTGCTTGGGCTCAAGTTTAGAATCCGGTCTCGCAGGGTTAATGTGCCTGGTATGCTGGGTTCGCCGCCTTTGTTCTGCAAGCACTTCGGAGACTTATGTACCTACTTAAGTACGGAGTACGGAGTACACGCTTCGGAGACTAACCTGCAATACAATATCGAGCTACGGAGTACTCCGTAGTGTCTGCGAAATGTCGCACCTTGCGCCTCTTCTCTGACTTTTGACTCGAGGCTTCGGCGCCGGATTTTGGCACACTGCAGACAAATTAGCCAAGACGACGGCGCCAGCCCGCCAGCCCGACCGACTTTGGCTTGCCAGCCGCCTGCTCAGGTCAAGGCGCTCTCATCAACTTGTATTTCGCTAGGATAGTAATGAATACGTAGTAGTACTGTACTAGTAGCAAATCAAAGGCCCCCACCTGCACCTGACGTCAAGTTGTCAAGCGGCCGGCCCTGTGGGCTGCAGCTCCAGAAAAAAAAACTACGAGCTACCACAGACTAGTAGTGCCAGAATACTAGCAGCGAGAATAACCATAATCCACGTCCCCTCCCCCATTTGCCGGCTCGATCACGGCCTCATCTCGCCTCGATCAAAGGGAAACATCGATAGGCCCCTCTCTGCAGTCTGTCAATTGGGCGGCTGCGCTTCACCACCATGAGCAAATTTGGCGCCATGATCATGGGCCCTGCGGGGGCAGGCAAGGTAAGACGAAGACGAACAAGCAGCAGTCGGCTGCCATGTCCTGTCCCGTTCGAAAACACCAAATTCTAACCTTCAGCTTGTACGCATGCAGTCCACCTTTTGCGCCGCCCTCATTACCCATCTCCAGCTCAACCGCCGTTCCGCCTTCTACGTCAACCTCGACCCCGCGGCCGAGACTTTCGAGCACACGCCCGACCTCGACATCAAGGAACTCATCTCACTCAAGGATGCCATGGAGGAAGTCGGCCTCGGCCCCAACGGCGGCCTAATCTACTGCTTCGAGTTTCTCATGGAGAACCTGGACTGGCTCACCGAGGCACTGGACAACCTGACGGAAGAATATCTCATCATTATCGACATGCCCGGCCAGATTGAGCTCTACACGCACATCCCCATCCTGCCCACCCTCATGAAGTACCTGTCGCAACCTGGATCGCTCGACATTCGCATGGCCGCCGTCTATCTCCTAGAAGCCACCTTTGTGGTCGACCGGGCCAAATTCTTCGCCGGAACTCTGAGCGCCATGAGTGCCATGCTGATGCTCGAGGTCCCCCACATCAACGTCCTCTCCAAAATGGATCTCGTCAAGGACCAAGTCAAGAAGAAGGATCTGAAGCGATTCCTCACGCCCGACATGGGTCTGCTGGAGGATGACCCCGTGGAGCGCGCCAGACGAGTCGCTGAGGGTCCCGAGGGCGACGACGACGAGTCACGAAGACCCGACGAGAGTGAACAGATTATGAAGGGCGCCAGCTTCCGGCGGTTGAATCGTGCTGTGGCAGGCTTGATCGAGAGCTTCAGCATGATCAACTACCTAAAGCTGGACGTGACAAACGAGGACAGCGTGGGCGCCATTCTGAGCTACATTGACGATTGTATCCAGTTTCACGAGGCCCAGGATCCTCACGAACCCAACGACGACGAGGACGAGGCCGGAGATGAAGAGTGACGGCTGCTTACTGTACTTTGCTTTTTCAGTTTCTTTTTTCTTTTTTGGAATACCCGCATAGCGACGGCGTTTAGGATCCTTACAAATCTAAAATTGATAACAAGAAAACAAAGTCGTAATATTTCGCGTCAGTATCAAACCGTAAGCGTGACCAAAGCCCAAAAGATGCCCCCATGCAAGCACAAACCCAAAAAATATACAATCCAATATCAGCATCATTCCCATTTCTACACAAAAATTAACGCCAAAAGTCCCATCACATCCCAACAAGATGAAATCTCCACCGAAAACACCCATCGCCATCATCATCATCTCCCCCTCCCCTCGCCATAGCCACTACTCCCCCCCTCCCTCGCCTCATACCGCTCATACTCCTGCCACCAAAAGTCCTTCAAAACACTCAGATACCCAACAACCTTGCCCCCAAGCACAACGGCATCCGTCACGCTCTCCACGACGCCCCTGTTGCACACCCAGGCCAGCAGCGCCGCGGCCGCGCTCCAGAACACGACCCGCATCACCAGCCGCGTCCACCACATTATCAGCCTCCGCACCCAGTTCATCACCACCACCGTGGCCGTCACCACGCACAGCAGCGCCACGAGCCCCGTCACGCCCTGGTTCTCGACGGCCACGGCCAGCACCCTGTCCGCGAGCGGTTGCACCACGGGCGCCAGCGACGCGAGCCACGCCTGCGCCTGCGCGACCGCCGCCTGCTTGTATATCTGGAAAGGGGCGCGGGGGTTGAGCAGGTGCGTGCGCACCGAGAGCGCGACGTCCGGCGGCAGAAGTTCCGTTAGGAGGCGGGACGTCAGCGACGCGTCCATTGTTTTTTTTTATTCGTAGCTTCTTCTTATTCTTCTGCTTCAAGCGGGTCGGCACGAGAGAAAGGAGCGTGCGTTTTCGATTTCTTTTCTGACCAGAGGGGTGTTGAGCGGGAAGTCGGTGAGTTGTGTGTGTTTTTTTTAAACGGAGTAACCTACATATATCTAGGATTTGGAAGGAGGACCCTTTTCCCGCGATCGATAAGCGTGGGTGCGGTATGGTTGGTTGGTTTCGGGGGTGGGGAGCTTGTCTTGCCATGTGCTTGGTTGGCGTTGCGGCAAGGCCTGACCGTGGATAATCTGGCGTCAAGGTCAATTGCACAACGCCAATCGGCGCGTTGGCAACTACAAACGGACATAGAGCTTCCGCACGCTCCCGCGTCAATGGTAGAGCTGGGACCCATGGCGATTCTGACATTTCCTTCATCATCAATCATTGAATTTTTACTACCAATGTGTGCGTAATTCTACTGTAAGCAAATAAACAAGAATTGCCGTCCTCCCAGCCAGACGCAAATACAGAAAGGGTATCGAAGATGTTGCAAAACAAAAGAAAATGTACATCCATCGTAAAACAGAAACAAACATGGTTTCCAGTTAGCCATTGTAACGAAAATCGACATCTATATATATATTGTCACCTCGTAATGATTTGTCCCGTCTCAACTCCCCCAAAATGATTTCATCAGCGTCGTAGGTCTAAAACATATGATTAGCATTACGGAGACATTGGTGCTCCGTCGCCAATGCTCTGGAGCAGCTTCCTAGCCGCTTCTATTCTCTCTCTGTATTCAGCATGGTTTCCGTTGCCGAGACGCGTAGCTTCACTCAGGCCCAAGACGCATCGTCCCAGACTTGCCACGACTTGTTCCACCAAGACTTGGTCTTCTCGTGAGAGCGTTTGTATCGCAGGAGACTGTGGTCCGCTCCCAGCGCTGTCCTTGTCACATATGCTTCTTGTCTCATTCATGAGTGACTCGGCGACTTGCTTGAGCGGGCTGTCTGGCGATCCGCTCAAGGTTCCCTGGCTCAGCCTGGCTTTGTTGACAAGGGGAAAGCTCCTGTTTGTCCCTGTGGACTCAAACGATGAGACGGACGGACGGTGCAGAGTAGATGGCGTGCTCGCACTAACGGGTCGATGAATGACTGAGCCGTAGCGAGTGTGCTTTCGGTAATATCCGGTAGAATCACTGCTGCTTCCACTGGCGCTACCGCTACCGCTACCACTTGGACTGTCTTGGCCCATCCCGCCAACACTCGACCGGATGGTTGTGGCCGGTGGGCTGTCTTCATCTTCGTAGTCGTCCGTAGGCGTCACAAACCCATCGTCAGATCTCGTCGAGCGGCCTACCGAGCTGCGGCTCTCTCTGCCCTCCATGGCGGTTGCGAAAGAGTCGATGGAAGCCAGAGTATCAATACTGGGTCGTCGTGCGTGCGTCATAGTCGGACCGCGTGTGGTTTCCACAGAGTCTTGAGATGTGACACTGCTTACGCTATCGCTTCTAGTTACCCGCTGCCGGCTAAGAGTGCCCATGGCAGAGTGTAGGAAGAAATGTTCATAATCAAACGCATCTTCCCGATCTTCATGTGATATATCAGTGGGCTCCTGATGTGTATCATGATAGAGCGATTCGCCACTTTCGCTAGCATAATCCGGGAAGTCTTCTTGGTCTTGGTCCTCCTGGTCGTTCTCGGGCATTCCATCATTTGGAAGGTGAGCCTCATCCCGCTCATCACGGCTTTGAGGAGTGGTCTTTGCTTCGCCATTCAATGCAGCTGCGTCTGCTGACCGAACCACTTGATGGCGGTCTATACTCTGTGTTTCCTCATCCTTGTGAGATGCATACGGGGGAGAAGCAGCCTCCGAACCGCCCATTAGCTGTGCTTCCGTTTCTTGCTTTCCCATCTCTTCCGGAATCCTATCATTCTCAAAACCAGACTTGGACCCATTCAACGGGCTAGCCAAACCAGGATTTCCGATTTCTGGTGTATCTGCTTGTTTGGGGCTTGTATATCCTTGTTCCCACCTAGCATGTGTGAAAGGACTAGGCGCCCTTAAACTTTGCAAACTACGCCTCTTCATGCTGTCTGCCTGTGCCTGCTGCTTCAGACTAGAGATCTTGCCTTTGAGTCCTTGCATTTGATCCTGCAGGTCTCGCATTTGCGCAGCCGAGGCGGACCGCGTCGTCACACTAGCTTCCATAGGCGATCCGGAGGTTGGGCTGCCTAGAGCTACAACCTGACTACCAGAGCGACGGTTGTCCTCGTCTTGTGGGCTTTCATCTTCGTCGAGCGGCTCTAAAGCTGAGCCAATAGAGGAGAGAGGAGACTTGACGGAACTTGAACTCTGCTTGGACCCTAAACCGTCGGCACTCTTGGACAACGTCAAGTGTTGGCGATAGCCACCAGCTGCACCAAGGGCACTGGCAGATCGTTGAGGAAGCATAGTCGTACGAGCAACACCTTGTAAGCTATTCTCGCTCACATTCCTCGAGTGTGTTGGAGTAATGGTCTGCGGTCTGTCGTGGATCGAGCCATTCGAGCGAGAACCAGGAGGCGGGGTGGAACATTCAGATATAGACGAATAACTAAACGTCATGGCCCTATTAAGGTTGCCTTCCATAGCCTAACGACCAAATTAGCAAGCAATCTTCACACTCAAGGGGTGGAAAGTTGGAGGTTCTTGTGGCAATATTCCCCTCCTCTTTTCTTTTCTTTTTTCCCGTTTTTTCCTTTTTCTTTTCTTTTGGACAAGTCTACGTACCAGAAGGCGATGTTTCGCATTAGCAAGAATCTGTTCAGCTCGTTTGCTCAGCGAGTTGGTGGAAAGTCTATGCTCATTCAATCTGTGACCAGATGGCATTGTCGAAGCACCGAGGGTTTGAACGGACGTTTCATCCACGAATTCGCTTGCCAAACTCTCCTCATCATCTCCTTGGAAATTGCTATCATCTACACTGACTGAGTCATCAAAGTCGCCAAAGGTAGCTTCTGGGCCATCAATGGTATTGACGGTGCTCGTGGATTCAATTGAGAGTCGGCGCTCGCGCCTCGCAATATTCTGTCTCTTCTTGAGCGCTCTCTTTCCCATTGTCGGTGAGGAGCGTAGAGGTGTGCCGCTATTCGTTCCAGGGGTGCCAGACAAGCCGGAGGAATTGCGACTCGGCGGGAGGCCGGCCGCACTTTCGACTTCGGTCACCTCACCAATATCCGAGAGCATCGTGCCATTGCCATATATGATGGGCGTCGTGGGCGGAAGTGGTCCAGGAATATAGCTAGCTTGCGAGAAATCGTGAAAGTCGTGGGGGGAATGCGCATTGTTCCACGTCACTAGTGGTGAGCGGGATCGGTTGTCGAGATGCTCCGGTTCGCCATAGTCTGGTAGAATCATGTCTGGGTTCGTCAACGTCGGCGAACCTGACTGAGGTCGGTAGGACAAATTCGCAGCTGCGAAGGCATCGTAGCGACTGTCACGGCCCGCGTGGGCCATTGTCTGGGCAGTCATGTTTGACTACCTAGATACCTATAGGTAGCTAGGTATTACCGGAGCGAATGCGCAACAAGTAGTTGCGCCGGTCGAGTCGGTCGAGTCGGTCGAGTCGGTTGAGCTCCCAAGGCCGATTCAAGCCTAAATGCGTTGGATTACAGCAGCCAGGTGCCCCCAACTACTCAGTCACCTCGGTGAAGCGATGCTCTTATACAACCCAAGCTCTGAATGTCTCAATGTCGAACGTCGAAGATACCCAAAGGCAGCACAAGAAGTAAAATGGCCGGAGGACCAGGGCAAGTTGTCGGGGAAGTCTGCGGTCACCTGCACCAGGGCCGGTTACACTGGCCACAAGCGCAACTGCAGGTCTTAAATGCCAGACACCATGAAACAAAGTCGCCTAACTGGTTTGGAGAGTTCGAGTTCGCTATCGGAGCAAGTTGGGAACGCTGGAAAGGTCTGCGATTCGCGACAAGTGAGAGAAAAGTGAGCTCGGTCACAGGCCACGGTCTCCTGAACGGTGTTCCCAGTTGATGCCGAAATAAAGGGTGGTGAAGGGTGTTCGACAGGCCGCCAGGGTAGATGACCCAATGCCCAATGTCCGTCCCCGAAAATGTCAAGTTTGAGGATAGATGCAGCCAGAGGAAAAGATCATGATTGGGGGAAAGTGGAAAATCGGAAGGCGGTGGTGAGGTTGCTGCTTTTTCCCGTCCGGTCCAAATCATCGGGGTCAAGCCGCCACAGTGCACACCACCTCGAGCAGCGTCAGCGCCAAGTACGTACGTCCTAGTATTACTGCGATTGTACTAAAAGCCGCTCAAGAGGCATGGTCAACTGTCCTGGCCAGTCCAAAGTGCCTTTGCAGCCAGTTGGGTCCCCGGAGTCCTTGGCCAGGCAAAGAGGGTCCAGATGTCCGCCGCCTCCAGAGTCCTGTGCATGTGCAGCTAGACTAGAAAGAACTAGCACTGGGGCGGAAAGGAAGAGTTCAGGGGGGTCCAATGCTTAGCTACCTACCAGTTGGCTTTGATCAGACCAAACGCCCCAGGTGCCGCTTGGGTCACCTTGGAAGGAAGGAGTGGATCGACTGCACATGTGTGTTGGCGCAACATCGAACTAGAATCTGACAGGGGTTGAAGAAACGAATCTTGGGTGGCGTCCGTCCAGAAGGGGGGGCCGCGGCCAAAAGAGGCCATGAGATGAGGCCAAACGAAGAAGCGTACGGGGTATTGTTGCACGGGGTAGGACAAAGGCAGAGGCCATTCACTGTTTGAATGTTTCTCTGAAACACCTTGGTTGTCATGCATCCGTATGGGCAGCATTCGCATTCATCACTTGCATACGCCGCATTCACCAAGAGCATTGAAGTCAATCAACTAGCCGCATGCGCACCTGTGGTCAACTGGTCCGTATTTCCCATCCTGCAGCTTTGTCCTCGGCCTCCGCCGGAACCCACAGCACAGGCAGGCAGGGCCTAGGATAATTTGATGCTACTAGTACCAGACATATGTAGTCGTCAACTAGTAGTACACACTATGGAAGCGCTCAGGTCTTTTTCTCCAAAGTCTAACGTGCCCTGACCTGGTTGACGACGGTACTTGGTTCTGGGCCAGATGCGGATAAAATCCTTCTTTCAGTCTGAGCTGCGAGTCACCGAATGGGCCAGCCACAAAGTTAATCCCAAGCCCACATGAGCCACGTATCGGATGCAGACCGCGCTCCAACTATTGTTAATCACTGTGCTTACATACTGTGCTTACATACTGCATCAACGGCCCAAACTGGCCAAACACGAGGGAGTGTGCCGTACGAGCATATGTACACATGTACGACCAGACTGCATGATTTGAGCACGGCACTCTATATTTGATATTCCATGTCCACCGTGCCACTCCCCATCCACTGACCCCTGCCAGCTTTGGCTACCGCCCCTAGAAATACGCCGAAGCCAAGAACTCTTTCAGATCCTGACGTCGGGCCGGGTTTCGAATCTTGGGGATACATCATCTCTCTCCTCCCGTATTGCACGGGGTACAACATCATCATCCGAATGAAAAATAAACGACCGTGCCACACCCGCAACTGGCAAAAAGTCGTGGCTTTGTTCACTTGGGCATCCACCCACCACCGCCGCCGCCGCCGTCTGAGCGCCCATTCACCTCCACGTCCCGAGAGCATCGTACATACACTATGTAGTACATGTATGTAGTCATGTACTTGACAATAACGGTAGTGCAGTTATGGCCGCAAACGCTTCAAGCATGACCGTTCGTCCCGTCTTGTATTCCACCACCAGTTACGGCCTTTGTTAGGCTGTTCCCACATCCAGCGTCCCCCGAGAGAGCTGAGCCTATGTCATAATGCGCCCATTTCTCAGCCTCAACGCAAAAATGCACGTCTTCATGTCGCATGCCGCGTGTCGCTTGCGCCTAAACGGAAGTAAACGTATTGCGCACAGTCTTCTTTCACGTCCAGGCACCGGCGCAACCGGCCAGACATAACGACGCAAATGATTTACTTGCCAATGTGTGGCAGGCTTCATTCTTCTTGGAGCAGTACCCAGCCAACACTAGATTTCACTAACAGCAACATGTGTAATGCAGAAAACACATATACATGGGCTCATCAACGGATTGAATGGCATGGAGATATATTTGCTCATATGATCACGGCTTCCAGTACAAGTTGATACCCATTGCCACGGTTAATTTCGCATAAAATTCAGTATCAGCATGTAGCCCGTTTTTGTATATATCTGAAAAATTCGTCGGGTTCATAGAAGGTTTGCCGGCGGTATTTCGAGGTGTCATGAAATCCAACCTTCTCCCTTTTATTTTTTCGTAACTGCGTCAGAAAATGTAAATGGCTGATCTCCTCTCTCTGTCTTCTTCTTTTTTACTCCCTCTCTCTCCAAGTCCATTCGAATATGATATCAAACTAATCATCAGCAAATGCCTCGGTCTTGGCTTGGATCAAAACCTTGTCAGCGTCATCCTTGGAGGGATGATTGGCAACCAAACGCTACAAATATTAGTTTAGGCTGTGGTCCTCGATTTTTATGAAATATTGCTTACCACGAGGTTACGGAGCAAGATGGCAATCGTCACCTTGCCAACAGAAGGGACATAGATCGAGGCCTTCTCCTTGATCGCGGGGCCGTCAAAGTTCCTGTACGAAGAAAAGTTGATGCACACAGCACCATCACGGATAAGGTCTGTAGGGACCTTGAATGATTCCACAGGAACACCTCCAATGACAACGTCGCTAAGAGGCAAGCAGTCCTTCAAGCCCCAGCCCTCCTTGTCCTCGACTTGGTGTCGCGGGCTTTTGATACCCTGACCACGGGTGAATAACTGGACTCCGGTGATATCAACAGAGTATACAGTAGCACCATCATTGGCTAGCAAAGCAGCGAGAGGCCGGCCGTTTACTTCGGAGCGGTTAATGACGGTGATAGTCTTGCCAAACAGGCGATTCCCGGCTGCCAAAATGGGGTTGTAAATTTGAAGATATTCCAAGATCTTAACCACAGCCAGTGGAGTGCATGGCAAAATAGACTTCTTTCGGTTCTCCGGAGGATCCAGGAATCGGATATTATGATACATGTTGTAAAGATACTTGTGGCGCATACCCTCGACATCTTTGGCAAGCTCTACAGTCTCCTGGACGTACTTGTCATGTGTGGGGTTCTGGGGGAAGATAGGATAGTAAACGATGATGCCGTCAACAACGTCATCTTGATTGGCTTTCGTGATCTCCTCCTCGAGGAGATCTTTGTCAACAGTGCGGAGGTCAAAGTTGAAACCACTGTTGAAGGCGGTCAGCATCTACAAGTCATCACCTCGGAATGCAAAACCAATGGGTCAATCCTGCTCTACTCACTTCTCCTCGCAAGTCTTTTTTGACCACTGGGCGTACTGAACCGCAGCGGGATCACCATTTGCCAAGAAAGCAACAAGCGTCGGTGCTTTGGGGTTACCTCCCTGGACTTTGGCCAGCGTCTCTTTGACTTCGGTCAAGAGGTTCTTAGCAATGGTCTCTGCGGTAATGACCTTGCAGGTCTTCGGAGCTTCTGACGAAGCCATTATCTGAGCACCAAGTCCGTGTTAGCGTCAAATTCTTTATCGCCCAACTGAATATTCAACAGTCGGACGAGGAATAAGTCTTGATTGAAGAACCCCACCAATGTAGCTTTGAAGTCGAAGCTCTACATCGTCACTGGTCAGTGAATATGGAGAATTGGGTCATGGGGGCAGTAGACGAACAATTCAAGTTGTGATTTCCTCCACGTCTGGTAATCAACAGTCCAGGTCAACAATGCTCTCACCCGTGAGGCTTGAACTGTCTGTTGGAGATGCATGATTACGTCGACTCGCTGAGAAAAAAAATGTGCCCCTCCAAAACCTTTGATGCCGCAGTTGCCCCTCTTACTAACCGTGGACTAGCGCCAGTAAGCAAGTAAATGGTGGAGACGAGCCAATGCACCTTCCCTTGTTTAAACCAACTTTTGATGTGGCCTTGAGCCTCAACAACGTTGCATCTAGGTCCGCTGGCTGTGAATGACTTATGGATTCTTCCTTTCCACCACTTTCGAAGAAATCAATCTTGTTCGTTTGTCTATTGGAGCCATGTGTTGGGATTTGAACAGTTCCGCATCATGCGCATCATTGTGCGCGGAAACCCAGAGCCTGGAGCCATCACCAACGGTGAGAAAAAAGGCTCAAATCCGCAGAAAATCCGCAGTCTAACAGCTTCAACTTAAAAAAAATTACAGCCGGTGTCATAGCATGATGGTGGGTGAGAAGCTTCAACTCCATCCAGAAGATATTCTTCATTTCAACAATATGTGGTGGCGCGCGCTGCTCTTACGGCCGTTTGGCGTGCGCAGAGTCCATCGGTGGCCAAGCTCTCCGTCAGATCGATGAACAGAAAACATGTGATGAAAGTCATACTTGTGGACTAGGTCCTTCACGTGATCCTCTTCAGTTGGACGATCGAGATTTACGTCAAGCTCAACACCGGATGCCTCCTCTGGCAGGACAAGTTCTGCAGTCGAAATTCCTCCTGACAGCAAGGAACAGGACGTTGCCGACACGTCATTCACAGAGCCGCTCTCTCCGATATATACATATGGAGCACCATTTCATCTCGCATACCCCGGGTTTTTATCTCAAATCTGCTGCAGCGTTCTTCTCCGCGGGCGGACAAGTTGATAAGCTTCCCCAAGTCAGTCAGTTATCTTTGCAGCGGGCGAAATGTGGAGCCGCACTGGCGCTGGTGTCCAACTCGTCCAGATAAGGTCAGACCAACCAACATCACTGCTTTGAACAGCCCCTTTCTGATAGGATAGTTGTCCAATAGGATTCATTGAATCGGAACCTCGCTCGAATCCGTCGATAACATGCTTGCAATGGTAATTCCGATTGACATTTCAAATAGCCTTGAGGCAGTTGTTTTTCATCACGTGAAGCTTCCAAGCCATGGGAGACATTACCCGCCCCCTTTTGAGGGTTACCTGGTTAATAAATCGGACCATGAATACTCGGTATCATAACGACGTGTCCTGTTGATGAATTAAGCGGTGAATCAACGACAAGAGTCTTCAAAAAACGAAAAGAGATAACATATGTAGAGCATCAACGAAAGTCTATTGTAAGTGTGTCTGATGGGATATTGCCTAGCCTAGCTGACTCACTTCTTATCAGTGGCCGTGACCATTGCCAGAACCCAAGCGTATCAGCGCCACCAGAAGTAGTTGGGTACGATGTCGATCTGGGCGTACTGTATGATAGGCGCTGTTATCATGTCTACCCTGAAACCGCCGGGTGTACCCGGCAATTGAATGAGACAGCCTTAACGCCATGGTGCCGAAGGACAAGTCCATTCGCAGTCCCAACAACCAGGGACCCCAAGATCTTTGCTGGTTGGCTTAGGGCTATCGAATCTAGATAAGCGTTCAGTCCGGAGATGCTTGGAGATGCTTAAATCGGACTCTGGCCGGATGTCGTTGACTTGACTACTATCGCAATGAACCAGAGTATTTAGAGGTCACCATAATGCTAACAACTCAAATCAAAATCAGAATCATATCGAATAGCGAAATTCCACTGTAGGGTGATTTCAAGCGCTACTTTTCAAAGCTATTTGACAACTTTCAAAAAATGGGCTTCAATATATCTTTGTTATGGAAGACCCCCGTGGTGAACCCCATCAACAAGAAAGCTCGAAGCATACCTGTTCTGAACGTAGTTGATCCGTATGGACGGGTATTTTTCTTCTCTTGGATGGGCTTCATGCTTGGATTTTGGGCATGGTACGAAAACCATGGTTTTCATTGCCTCTCTTTTTCCCCTTCCTTCCAGGCTGATGTCGTCTGTACAGGTACACATTTCCTCCATTGTTGACAGTCACGATTAAAAAAGACCTGCACCTCAGCGCCGCCGAAGTAGGCAACTCCAACATTGTATCCCTCTGTGCCACTCTACTTCTACGATTCGTCGCCGGACCCCTCTGCGACCAATTCGGATCCCGGAGAGTCTATGCCTCACTCCTCCTCCTCGGCTGTCTACCGATCGGCCTCGCCCCCCTCGTCAAGACGGCCAACGGCCTCTATGTCTCCCGATTCTTCATTGGTATCCTCGGAGCAACGTTTGTCCCATGCCAAGTCTGGTGCACCGGCTTCTTCGACAAGAACATTGTCGGCACAGCCAATGCTCTCTCTGGGGGATGGGGCAACGCCGGCGGCGGCATCACCTACTTCATCATGCCAGCCGTCTTCGACTCCCTAGTTGCTTCCCAGGGCATGACTCCGTCCAAGGCATGGCGAGTCACCTTTGTCGTGCCCCTCATTTGTCTGATCGCTTGTGCTCTCGGCATGATATTCCTCTGTCCGGACACGCCCCTCGGAAGCTGGGAAGAGAGGTCGCAAAAGCTCCAAGAAAACCTGGACCAATACAGCCCGACGAGCACCACGGCCGTCAACACGCCTCACATCCTCAGCGAGCCGCCGAGCCGAGACGAAGAAAAGGCAGAAGGGTCTGACGGGGAGTCGAAATTCTACAGGCAACCGTCTGCCATCTCCTTGTCGGAAGCCGTGTCCATTGCTCAGGCGGAAACCGTGGTCAAGCCCAGCTTCAAGGACTCTCTGCCCGTCATACTCTCCTTACAAACCCTCTTCCATGTCGCCACATACTCGTGTTCATTCGGCGGTGAGCTGGCCGTCAACTCCATCCTCAGCTCCTACTACAAGGCCAACTTTCCACACTTGGACCAGACCAAAGCCAGCAACTACGCCGCCATCTTCGGCTTCCTCAACTTTGTCACACGTCCGCTCGGCGGCATCGTGGCAGACATCCTCTACAAGGTATCCGGACAAAACCTGTGGACGAAAAAGGCCTGGATCACCATGGCCGGCCTCCTGAGCGGGGCGTTGCTCATCGTCGTCGGAAAGGTTGATCCTTCAGAAGCCAATGGCCGCGACATCGGCACCATGGTAGGCCTCGTCACCATCGCCGCCTTCTTCATAGAGGCAGGCAACGGTGCCAATTTCGCCCTCGTGCCGCACGTCCATCCCGCCGCCAACGGCGTCCTGTCCGGGTGCACCGGCGGCGGCGGCAACCTGGGCGGCGTGGTGTTCGCCATCATCTTCAGGTTCATCGACCACGGCAGCGGCTACGCCACTGCCTGCTGGGTCATCGGCGTCATTCATATTGCCGTCAACTTGGCAGTCTGTTGGATTCCGCCATTGCCAAAGCGCCAAGTCGGCGGACAGTAAACAAACGATCAGTCAGGGTGCCAAAAAATGCATCTTGTGTATATAGGATTTAAAGTTTTTATCACGTAGCGAGCAGCGAGTTTTCATTGGCCTGGGCCATTTTCTTCCAAATAATGCCATCTTTGTTTTTTTTTACCGTTGCCTACCTGCCGTGCCTCAAACTCGTCAAACGTCATTCGGTCCCAAGTAACCTCCAATCGCGACGGCGTTCAGACACAATGATGCCACTGTCCTCACTCACTGAGACACATAACCGAACAATGGTGTCGCAGCCCTTGGAAACCGCCTTGTGAAACACTCTCCCGGTCCCCGAGTGCCACCCCGCCGAAAGGCGTTTGCAGATCCGATGCGAAGCCAAGCCTTGATCGCCAAGATTGTTTGTTTGTGCTCAGCCCTGTAATCAGCCGTGTGTAATTTGACATGAGACGCTGAGGATGGCCATTTCTCCATTGACATGTAATATGTGCATACTCCGTAGTATGCATACGTACATACATATTGTGCATTCAAGAAATTACACTTTTGTCAGAATATTGGATGTAACCCTAGCATGCCAAAAGCTGGCTTCGACGCCAAGAGCGGGTCCTCGTGGCACCTGACTTGACTCTGCATCGCTCACAGACATGTCTTACATTCCAGCGCGGTGTAGCACTAGTACCGATCATCAATAACAAGGTGAGGCTGATGGCAATTGAGTCAAGGTTAATTGAGGCTGAATGTAGTCAAAGTCGCACGCCTTGCGTCATCACTGCCAGGGGAGAGTAGCTGACGAAATGGATAAGACAGTACTCTGTAGATTCCAAGTAAATGGGATTCAGAGACACGCAACACTAAAGGGACTCTCAAGGGCGGACGCATTGGTTAATTAATGAGATGAAATTTTGTTTACATAGCGCCTCGATCCAGGCTTAGCATTAACGAAACGTTCATCAGGACGTCAATCAATATAGCCAAACAGGTTGGGTTCCGCGCGTCACTACCAATGACCCGAAACTTTCCAATCAGTGCCAATATCGACCCATGTACCAGTACCCCTTACCAGAGCGCACCATGTACCGTATATGTGCAAGAGAACCCCAAGACCAGATGAAAAAAAAGAAACACGCATAACCACCCACTGTTACCGATTCTCTCCTTACAGAGCAAGAACGGCGGCAACAACACCCAGAATAGTGAGTGAGCCGACGCGAACGATGTTGGCAGCAGCAGTAGGGGTGGCAAGAGTACTGGGAGCAGTGGTAGTGGGAGCAGCAGTAGTGGGCTTGAAAACAGCAGTGCTGGTAATGAGAATAGGAGCAGACTGGCTGGATGAGGTCTTGACAACCAGAGTGGTGTTGGCAGGAAGGGTAGTGTTGGACTTGATGGTCTTGGAGTGAGTGCTGGTTGTGGCGGGAGCAGAAGTCGTCGCGACGGAAGTGCTGCTGGCGGCGGCAGTGCTCGTGACCGGAGCGGTGCTGCTAGACAAGCTAGACAAAGTAACAGTCTTGGTGACGCTGCCGCTCGAGCTGCCAGAAGGCTGGTTGCCAGAGGCCGTGATGTGGAAAGGGTTAGAGTACTGGAAAGTGACGGTGGGATCGCTCTCGTAGCGGATGACAAGACCATATATAGCCTTGTCACCAAGAGAAGCGTCGACCTTCCATGAGTAGGACTCAGCACTGTTTTTGACACCGGCTGTAATATCGTGTTAGAAAACAATCTCGTCCTAACCATTTCGATTACCTTATGCAGCGCTAACTTACAAGCGATATCAAGAAGCGGGACCTGAGTATTCTGGGTAGCACCGCCGATCAGCTCAATCTTGACGGTACCTTCAGAGTACTTGGCGGGAGCCTTCCAGGTGATAGTAAATGTAGAGCCAGCAGTAATAATCTCGTTAGGCTTGGGGGCGTAGATGGGGTCGAAGTCGGCAGCCTGGCCAAAGGCAGTGGCGGCGAAAGCCAGAACAGTGGCGACAGAGAAACGCATGTTGATGGTTCAAGAAATACAAACGTATTTTTTAATGTCGAGAAGTTAAATATTAAGCGGAGCGAAAGAAGGACTGGAACAGTGTTTTAAAGAGCGTGGGTGGCACAAAGAAGCCTAGATTAAAGAGCGACTGTGGTTGAAGAAGGAGGATGTGAGATGTGAGCGAAACCAAGAGGTGAAGTACAATAATAGTTTTTTGGGAAGGCAGGCAGGCCGGCTGACCGGCAGACTGGCATGTTGCAGCACGTGTAGTCCATGGACCCAGAGGCTGACGGGGCGTGCCTACCAACAATGGGTCCGACCGTTGTTCCTGGACCATTTCATCAGCGGGGGCTTGCTCAGTGGCTGCTGATTCGGGTGTGCCAGCAGGCACCACCCGCTGCACTACCCACCCACAGCATGTTAAGTCCTGACGGTTCTTGGCGGGCCAAAAATGCCATGGTGGAGCCCTTGTCAGGGGAAAAGCAAATTACATCCAAGAATAGGGCCCTTCTATTGGCCAGAGAAGGGCCTGCGCTGGGCTGAGAGCGCCTGGCATCAATTGACGGGTTGGTTGTGGAAATCAGGGTCAGTGGTCGCGGCATGCACCACAACAAGGCGGCGCTTGACATTATGGGCCGAAAGAAAGAAGCTAGTCTACATGGCGAAGTGGCCGAGTCGTGGCTAATAACGAAAAGAGGGAGAAGGGGGACGAAAAAAAAACATCATATCCCCTTGGCCCCTCAGCCGCTGTGGAAACAGTCGGCAGCCCCTTCTCTAATACCAGAATATTGCAATGCTGCGATAGTGCAATGCTGCGATGGTGCAATGGCCAAGTGGATAGTTACCATTTCCTAGATTATCTTCTCCCCGCTCACGCAAGCCTTCTGCCAGCTTTCCGTCAGTCCACGGCAAAGTTTCGCAATTTCCTGTTCCCTAAATAGCACACCGCCGGCTGCAGACCCCCAGGGCCAGTGTGGAATGTCTCGATACCAATGCATAATAGTATTAATTAATTCGTCTATACATAGTAAGCATGCTCGAAATGGTCAATGCCGTCGTGCAATGGATCATCAGCCGCAAACGCCAGCGGCAAACCTTTGGGCCTATGGGTAGCGATTACGTGCTCTCAAATCTGAATGGCGGCGGCATTGCTTGTTACGCCTCCAGTAAAATATTGAATTTACCCATGCCGGTTGAAATTAATTCACCAGTCAGCCCTAAACTCAGTCAACAAAGAGAAGACGTTGTTGAGCTGCTTTTTGCCAAAAAGGATGAGCACATTGAATTAATGCATGCAGCATGGCGCAATCCGACCGAGGGGATCCTGGCAACTTTATCGTTTATGGACGTGGACCTGCAGTGTGTACAGAGTACATCCATGTAAACTAATCTCACGCACCCAGTACTAGTCCAAGTCGGCGACCCCATACTGTCGTCTGTTGTCGGAAGGAGGCCATGTTACGGATGGATCAACGTTCCTCCATGTATGTATTACGGAGTATTCCGTAAACATTTGACCGACAGATCAAGGCATTGAAGTCCTGGAGGCTTGGCAGTGAATCCCCCTTAATTACCAGGAAATGGTCCCATTGACGACGCTTGCTCTCTCATCTGTCGATTTACGAAGATGAGAAACAAGTCAACGGCGTAATCCCAGTTGGCATATGGAAGCTACCGGCCGGGCTGAGCTGGACGAGATACATACCGTTTTGCTTGACACTTCTCCTCCGTTTCCCGCCAGTCCAAGCGCTGCACGTGGTGACACAGCGTCGACGAATGTCTCGGGGCGATAAATAAAGACGATGCGGTCGCAGGTGTGCCCGAGCTGATGCTAGATCTGAGACAACGCCGCAAATCAGTAAAGAGATGTGAAGCCTAGAAAAGCGTACTAGTCTCAATTTCGCTATACCCGGCGAAGATGGTCTGCCATGTTGATAAATTTCCGCCCGAAACGTTACACCGCGGCTGGGAAGCTTGTTTCTGTCGCACGCACTGGGCTTGGAAACAGGTGCACTGGGCACCGACTCATTTGCAATGTACAAGTTGTAGTCTGGGGCAATAAGTACTCAAGTGCTTGGTATTAACTACCTCTAAGTAGTATTTGCCCATCTTCAGACCCCGCGAGCCAGGAAAAGTAGCACATACCTAGATAGGTTCATATTGCTACATAAAGTACTTACTTACGTACTTAAAGCATGTACTCCCTGCCTGCCACTCAAGGCTCAAACTGCCCGTGAACTCTTTTGCGCTGATCTCCCAATGTTCCATGGGTATAGGGTATGTGTCCCTCATCGCTGGTGACGTTGAAGCTGTCGCCCACCGTTGACGCTTAATCAAACACCCCCGTAGTATGACCCGCTCAGCCAATTAGACTGCCACTTACCCCACAAAAATTTCGAGCCTTTGAGCACCTGCTCTGGATCCTCAGCCTTGTCCCTACAAAAGCAACCCAACCTCAGCAATGGATTCGGCAGACCATCTCACGCCCGGTACGCCTCATATCAAGCGACGCAAGACTCATGACGACTCATCGCAGCGGTCGAGCTCGCCGGGCACGTCCCCCAACGCCAGGAAACACTCGGAACCCAGGTCGCGGGAGCCTCGCGATCCCTCACAATCCAGGTACGACGTGACGAGAAGCCCCAGTGCTGCAGGCTCAAACAAGCACTATTCATCGCGGTCTCGCTCAAGAAGACGCTCTCGATCCATCTCCAGCTCAGGATCAAGCACGCGCTCAGAGTCACCGCCTCTTTCCCGGACGCGTTCTCGCCGGCGGTCCGGGTCACCCACATCCTCTGACCGCACGCGAACCGAGTCCTACTCGCCCCGGCCGCGACAACCCTCACCTACTCGGGAGCCCTCGAAACCCAACTACAGACCGCGTCTAGTGCTCCACGGCCACACGGGCCCCGTTTCACAGGTGAGGATATCGCCCAATGGCAAGTTCATCGCCTCAGCGTCCGCGGATGGAACCTTGAAACTGTGGGATGCGGTGACGGGCGCGCACATGGACACGCTGGTCGGCCATATGGCCGGCGTGAGCTGTATTGCTTGGACGCCGGATAGCAACACTCTGGCGAGCGGTTCCGACGACAAGGCCATCCGCCTGTGGGACCGCGTGACGGGACGACCGAAAACGACGACCCGCAAATCCATCGCGGGCCAGGAAATGGCCGCGCTGCGAGGACATCACAACTATATCCACTGCCTGGCGTTCTCGCCAAAAGGCAACATCCTCGCCAGCGGGTCATATGACGAAGCCGTGTTCCTGTGGGACGTTAGGGCGGGACGGCTAATGAGAAGCTTACCAGCTCATAGCGATCCTGTCAGTGGGATCGACTTTTGTCGAGATGGCACATTGGTCGTGAGCTGTTCGACGGACGGATTAATGTAAGCATGCTGCATTAGAATTGCTACCGCTGATGGACTAAAGCTAACGAATCCCAGTCGAGTATGGGACACCTCGACCGGACAGTGTCTCCGAACACTCGTGCATGAAGATAACCCTGCCGTCACAAATGTATGCTTCTCCCCCAACGGCCGCTTCGTCCTGGCCTTTAATCTGGACAATTGTATACGGCTATGGGACTATGTGGCTGGGACCGTGAAAAAGACCTACCAGGGCCACCGGAACGAGAAATTCGCCATAGGTGGCTGCTTTGGTGTCTTGGACGGCGAACCTTTCATCGCGTCTGCAAGCGAAGACGGTGATGTGATACTGTGGAATGTGAAGAACAAGGAGATACTGCAGAGGATTTCTACGGGCCATAAAGGCGTTTGTTTCTGGGTCGATGTCAATGGCGAAATATTGGCAAGTGCGGGACAGGACCACACTATTAGGGTGTACAAACACGTAAGGGAGGGCGGCGTCACAAATGGGAGTACGCCGTCTGAGGTGGAGATGACGAGCAAATTGAAGGGTGAGCTGCCTATTCGGCAGGAGGATATCAAATTGGAGGATGCGTGAAATGATGATGAAAGTTATTAGCAAGCCATGAAATCTTTTGATCTTTGTCTTCTAGAGCAAGTATGTGTTGTTCCCTGTGTCTCTGATAGCAATTGTGTATGTTGTGTAAACCTGACTTCCAAATATCCGCTTGTCATTCCCTTATTCGGTACCAAGCCATTACTGCAAAAAGAAAAACTGTTGAGGTGTATCCTCTATTAACGCTGGTTCATTTTGTCGTCATTGGTAACCTTGAAATCCACCCTGTCTTTGCTGGCAACTTATCATGGTCTCCTTAATGCCACGTCCGTGGCTGGATGGCAACCTTTCAGAGATTCTGGTCGAACCACAGGTATTCTACTTGAACACTGTGCTGTGCAACTCGTTCTCCATTATGGTACACCGCGAAATCAACGGAAATACCGTCGCAAGTCATTTCTATTTCAAAATTTAAGATGCGATAGGGCTCTCCGCGACAGTTCCTTTCTATCGGTAAAGTCTGTCGTTTTATAGTTTTGCTCCAATTGACCTCGCACAATACAGATACCGACTGATCTTCTCTTGAAGGGGGTCCTGAAGAAGCCGATACGTAGAATTTCTCAGAAACTTGCCCAATGGCGTCGTCGTATGTGCGACGGAACTGGTGTCGTATTGATGCGGTAGCTGATAAGTCGTGGCCCTAATGGAATGTTAGCTGGGGGAATTCGAAATGTTTGGCATGGCGGGAAATGATGCGAATATCGGGGCAGATTTGAAATGGATGTGCGAATCGCAGTCCGTACCTGTCTTAAAAACCATCGCATTTGGTTAGATGCCATCGGTTTCAATGTACAAGGATCAATGTACCAGTCTTCAGTAGAGTGGAGTTTTGGGTTGAAAGGAAGCGAGAGCCTGATGCCGTAACTCATCCTAGCTATCCTGGTTTCAACTTTCACGTCGAGGCATTCAGATAAGCCCAAGGATGTGATTCCATGAATCACCGCTCCGCGACATATTGCGACCCAGCCGACAAAAATTCGTTAGTAATCGTTTATGAGTATAATGCGAATGAACTTGAACTATTTATTCTAGTAAGAAAAGGACTTACGGCCTAGAACCTCGGGATTGAAGGACCGTAGTGTTCTCTCCAACTAACAACTTGAGTCGCTCAAATAGGTATGGGCTTCGTCCGAACCCGCCAACAAGAATTACAAACTAGTGTTATGTTCAGAATAGGTTGGAATAGAGTGGTATATATATATGAATAGCAGTCTGAACTACCGGGTGCAGGACTTGGAAGACGAAATCCGCAGCCTCAAGCGGCAAAACTCACGCTTACGCAGAGAGAATGGCAATATGAAGTCACAAAACTATCGAACAAGTGAGGTCCTTCCGCCTGCCAAAGAGCATGTACCAAAAGCAGTCAACTGGCACACAAATGAGAAACCGCGAGCGACCGGAAACAAGATACCAGATTCTGAATTCAAGTCAAAATAGAAACAACTCAAGTTCAATGTCAGAATGCTGTCCAGGCATATACTTGACCATAATCCTGAACTTATCTTACAAGCTAGGCATTTAGCTACAGTTATGAAAACTTTCAGAAACAGCAAAGGGGGTGATGTACATGGCAGTTCCTTATTCCAGGAGCTAGACACCAGACGACTTGGATTGGAAGCTTATCTTTGGAATTTCCTCTTCGATGTCGTTTTCGACTCGAACAGCGAAACTGATGCCGCCAGAACGAGGACGACCTTCAAGAGACATAGAAAGGACTATGCCAGTAGGTACTTGACATTTCTCATGTTGTGATACTCTTGCCACTAATATATATTCTTTTAAAATAGAGTTGAAGATAGAAGATTCGTCTCAAATCGCGCCTGTCTATGACTGGTTGCAGTCAGGCTGGCCCATAACCAAGCCAATAACACCCGACTCTGTCAATGAGCTCTTACGAAAGGACAGCGAAGAAATTTGCCAAATGATTCATGGCAATGATGGTAGAGAGCGCTCAGATAGTCGGGCGGAATCACGCGAAGAGCTCCGAGACATACTTTCTCTGGCCCTGGAGCTAGATGAAATGATCATGACCTCGCGGGCCATGATCACCGTGGTATGGCCCGGTGAGGTACTTGAGATTAACGCAGGCAACTGCACCGAGTACCGAGAGTGGTACATGGAGGCCATACAGGAAGAGAGAGAGCCCGGCGAGAATGTGAGATTGAAGTTGTGCGTTACGCCCATACTTTTGAAGAAAGGCAATGCGAGAGGGACCAACTACGAGTCTCAGATTGTGCTTGTCAAGGGCGATGTTGTTGTGGATTATGGACCTAGTCAGGGGAGTACGAAACCTGTCCAGACTCAGGAAGGTACCGTACAGTGAGTTTCTCTGGATTTGATGATTTTTGTTTTCTTCTGGGGAAATTGGGACGTTGGCTGTGATGATGGGCATGAATTAGCATGGTTTACATGATGAGAGCTATACGGCCCCGGGAGGAAATGGTAAAACGGAGCCGCTCGGATACTTGACTACATCTTTGCACAGAGACATACGCTGCCATAGCTCATGAGAACCAATAAAAAAAAACCTCTATACCCCATGGCGCGGCCCGGTACGCATGTCACAAAACACACGAGATTCAGAAGCAGTGAAGGAGTAAATGTACTGCCGTAGATGCAACGCGAGCCACGACCCCAGCTTGTCGGATCTGCCCCTCCCATAAGTTATGACCAAACGGGCAATTGTTTTGAGCAAGGATAAGGGGTTCGTCTCATTGGGCATGTATGTACAGCTGACGGGGCTGATTGAATGAAATACAAGATGTAGCAGTGGCTGCTTCCTAGACGAAACATGACACCGACACTGCAGCCAAGCTCCGAATATGGGAACAGTATGGGCTGATTTACTCCGTGTGCTGCTACTAAAACATGTTTGACACGAATGCTTCTGCTTCGTAAGGTACCGCCGCCCGAGACAAGGTGTTTGTCACGACCGTGTTACAGAACTTTCATGGCCGAATTAATTCTAATACAATACATTTTTCTGTTCCGTCCGGGTGCAGAGAAGGGATCCTTGCAGTGTTCGAATGCTGCTCTTTGACTTCATGTGAAACTTGGGCGCAGTAGAGTGTATGTTTCTGTAGAAATCATTGTCCAAGGTATGGGGATAGCAAATATCAGAAGCCTAATACGGAGCAGTGAAAACACCTCAAACGTCTGAATCTAGTAACCACCGTAGACTATTGAATCAGGACAAAGGAGTGGTTCCATGGTTCATTGGAGGAGGAGAATACGACGTGGAACTGTTCGTTGGACGGTGTGGACGGCAAACGCAGTAGATCTAGGGGCGAGTCAGGAACTTACTGGCTCACCCAAGCCCAATCGCGCAAAGGCAAGATTGATTGGCCTGGACGGATTGCTGGAAAGATGGTGGGATGGGGTGGCTCAAAAGGCGCAAAGCATGTTGGGCGACAAGTTGAACAGGACAGCGACGGCGTCAAGGACAAAGGCGCGCATCGGACGAGATCCACTACATACAGTGGATTACAGAAGCTCGATGGACGCTGCGGAGAAGTGAGGCCCACGAGATTAGAGACAGCGACCGAGGGATCGCGTAGATAAGAAATGTTGACTGAGGACGATCAGCATCCACAGTCTCCATCTCGGGAGGGCCACATGGGCCAGAAGCCGGGGAACGACACGCCGCTGGAATTGGCCACAAAAGGGTGGAGGGGTAGTCGACACGGCAAGGCTGTTGGCCAGGTCAAAGACAATTCGAAGTCGAGTTCATGTCGTTGGTCCATAATGTACGCATGTGTCTGGGCTCTGCGGTGTTGCCGACGCCTTTGTTTGTCATGACCGAGTGTCCTCACGTTCGGATGTTCATGAGTGTCCCTGATGTTTGCCACTTCTTCTATTGGTTTCTGGCGTAAGCCCGAGTTCAGCCGCGGTGCTTTGTCACCTTGTCGTTTCGCACGTCCAACAGAGCTTCAGAGGTAGTACGTTAGTCAGTCGTGCGTTGGTGCGCACATACAAGACGGCGGGACGTGCGAAAGAGGACTGGACCCTTGGGATCTGCGAACCATCTGGTTGGTAGTTAGTACTCACTCCGTGCGGCGTGGTCATTCGGCAACCCTGCAAGATTGATGACAATCAATGTTGGAGAATTCGAATTGAACAGAAAGGCGTACTAATTAAAAGGCGGTGATTGAGTAGCATTCACTCTGCACAAAAGAAACAATCCCAAAAGCAATGCTGATGCATGGGGCACCTATTGACGCCTTGACGCCTTTGATGTGCATGTGGACAAAAGTGCAAGACCCCACGACGAACACTGCCTGTTCTTTCCCCCACAGTTACTAGGTTACTAGAGGGAAGGAGCGCATGCCACCTGCCGGTCAAGGCAGTATAAGCGGTCACCGTCAACAACAACTCCAAGCCACATTTCTCACATCTCTGGTACCATCAACAACGGGTGGACCATCTCCATCTCCATCTCCATTTCGCCTTTTCCCTCACTCACCCACGTCCACCGTTCACAGGCTTTTAGGTCCGACTCGCTCTCGCTTCAACTCGGTTTCTCACCCGTGCCAATCCATCCGGCCAGTCAATCAATCAATCAGATTCAACGACTACGTACCTCGCTTGAACCCCCCTTGTTTGTCAGTCTTGCAGCCTTGGACCATATTTGTCGCAACAAGTGGCATCAGCCTCAGCACTGGTATCAGCACCTCGGCGTCTGTGCCAGATTTTTGGCATTGCAGCCAAGACACCAGGCAAACCCCACCCGACGACTGTTACGTCTCGTCGATTTCGCGACGCTGTCGGTGGCAGAAAGCTAAAAAGACGTCCCGAACAACTGAGACTCAACGGAACAGCCCAAATCCGCCCTCTAGTGTTTATTTTTGGCCCTAAGCTGCCCCAGAGCTCAATTGCCCACGACAGGAATGTTCCACGGCCCACCAACAAACAGCATTGAACCACCCACTAAACCCAAGGTTGCATAGCACACGAATCACACGAATCTAAAGCTGACTCGGATGCATCCTGGCGGCGTCGGATTATTTTGCTGGTTCATCAGGAGAACATAAGCCATCACCACACCTCTTGGTTCTTCTTCTTTTCACTCCGCGCCCCTCACTTTATCTTTTGCCTTTATAGTCTGTCATTGCTGCTGCCGCCGTCTGTCTTAGTTTGCTTGGCATTGTCCGTATCGTCAGCGCAAGCGTTGTGAAGAAGATCCACCAACCAACCGGACTCGACTACTAATACCGCCAGCGTCCACCCTCGTGCCCAAGTTGCAGGGTCGCGCTTGTCCCTCCAACCGGCTCCGACTCCTGCGTTCCTGGCGACCGCGACCTGCACTTCCTGGAGCAACAACAAGCGACTTCCCGACTCCTCTACTTGACGCTACAGAAAACCTCCCCCCTCCTCCCGTCTCTCAAGACCGACATATATCTTTTTCAAGCCACGCTAGCTTTCCTTGACCCGCATGCAGTTTCTCCTAGACAGGACTCATGGAGCCCGTTCCTGAGACGGAGCGTATGGAGGCGTTCAAGTCCTCACCTGTGCCCTCCCTTCGTCTTAGTAGCAACCCGAATGCTATTCCACCGTTGGACCTGGACATGGTGAGGAAACCGCCCACCATACGTCGCAGTACCGACCCGAACCCAACCTCACCAATTTCACCATCATGGAGTTCGGCACCTTCTGTTGCCTTGCCTTACAGACCACGAACTGCATCCCCCCTATCAGGAGGCCATTCACGATCGCGGTCTGCCGCTAGCCTCGCTTCCCCCATGTCACGAACCCAGTCTATGCCCGGAGTCAGCGGTTCGGGGCGTATTTTGTACTCACCCGGCTTACGACCCGCAAGTCCCTCCAACTCTAGCTCCCCAAGTCGTGTTCGAACGCCAAGAAAGCCTGTCGATGAAGCTTTTCCTGCGACATCTCCGGTCCGGACGAGTGTTCTCGAACAAGACAAGAAGCAACCCGACCGAAGCAGCTCACCCGTTCTTGGAGGAGCAATTGTGTCATCAAGTCGACTTAGGAGATCCTCGTCTCCTTTTCGAAGTGTGCCACCGCCGAGTTCCAGCGCTCTTTCTTTACTACCCTCGCCACCGTCCTCCGTTTCGTCAGCTTCCTCTTTACGAGGCTACGATGCTCTGTCAGCTAGTTATGGGGGTAGCCTATCTTCCGTCCCATCCACACCGACGTCAGCTCGATCACGCAGCCCCAGCATCTCAAGTTTGGAAACCATTCCTGACTCTCCAGATGCAGAAGAGGCCGCTTTGGAAGCCGAGAAATTAACTCAGCTCAAGGTTGCCGCAGAAGGAGCAGATGGCGGCGATTCTTTCGATTCCAAAGGTCGACCACCTATGGACGCACCTCCCAGGGGCAGAACTCTTAGCTATGGACCAAGGGACAAACGCAAGCGATGGAGTGTCTGTGGAGCCGAAAGACGCGGCGATTTAGATCTGGAGACAATTTGGGAGGACTGAGGACATGAAATGAACCGTGAATGGCATCACGGCGTTGCATGATACACACAACAGAGCAAAGCGAGCTTTTTTTGCATTACCCGACATGAATTATTATGAACAGCGGAAACGGTTTTATTTTCTATGGTTTGCGCAGGCTCGATGGTTTTTTTTTTGGCGTCATTGTCATGTTTCTTTTTGACTAAGCCCGTCCTCTATTTTGGTGAGGCAAATGTTTGGAGGGCTTATTAGGTCACCGCGTCTTTGATACCCTAACGCATTCACGCGATTGCATGGTGTGGCTGGTGGAGGAAGATGGAGGGGGAACTCATGATGTATGTAGAATATGCGAGAAGGGAAGCTCTCGCAGGTGTTTTAAGAGACTATAGTTGTTAAATACGGCGCGCAGACGTCGATTTGCAGATAGAGCGGGCTCTATTTTCGGAACGAGGACCTCGTGCATCTCTTGGAAACAATTTCAAGGGAAAACTCTACTGAATGGACTCGCCATAGGTACACATTCCGACGATATTCCTACAGCCTGGTTATTGATTGCTACCTATGTAGATGGCGTTGAGGAGGTGGATGTGGTTCAGCTGCCGAGTCGACAAGGGAAATGACACATTGATGTCATCGGTCTGCGCCATGTTCTTGAGCCGTGACTATGTGCTACGTAGAAATTTGTCCATTTGGCGCAAACAGCTGATGCGGCCTGTACGACGAATAGGGTGTAAAGTAGTAAAAACACAGTCTCAAATTTAGGTCGTGGGTATAGTAGTACTTGTATTAGCTATATCCGCGGCCCAAGCTACTACACCTTCTAATGGTATGTATAGGAGTATAGCCATGATAGTCCTATATAATAGAAGTGTTTCAATATGAAGTTTGTAATGTGCATTACCGTGAATGTATTTCTCTCATGAAATCGTGACCACAACCCCCATCCAATGCCGATTCTCGACTTCACCAACTCCAAAAAGCGCTCTTCCACAACCCCAACTCCGCAACTCCCAGCCTGAAACGCCCATCACAATCCCAGCTTCTCGGGCCCAAAAGACAACGGCAGCAACTATCAAACCGGCTCGTCAGTCAAACCAATCCTCACAACGACGCCCCTTCCCCCTTTCTTTCAAAGCAAACGACGTACCTCTTCCAGCGTAAGAACCACATAATTCTCATCCTTGTCAAACATGATGACGGGCATATCCAGCCTGCAAAACTCGCGAATACTGCCCCTCCCCAGCAAGGATTAGCCCCAAAGCCCACCCCCTTCTCACGCGAGGGCATGCCAAAACTCACAACTGCCTACACATGCCGCAGGGGCTCGCGGGCGGAGCGACGTCGGTCGCCACAGCCACGGCCTTGAAGGCCCTCAGGCCGCGGTCGGTGACGGCCTTGCCGAGGGCCACGCGCTCGGCACACGTGCCCACGGGGTACGAGGCGTTCTCGACGTTGGCCCCCGTGGTGACGGAGCCGTCGTCGCCCAGGACCGCCGCGCCCACCCGGAACTTGCTGTAGGGGCAGTAGGCCGCGGCCTTGGCGGCGGACGCCTGGGAGCGCAGCGCGGCGAACTGCTCCGGTGTCAGGGCGTGCGCTTCGCATGTCGCTGCGATGGAGGCGGCTGACGAGGAGGCGTGGATGGTCGGCGGCGCGCGGGACATGGCTTTGTCTTTTTATCTTCTTCCCTTCTTTTTTTTTTTCGTGGCCTCCCGGCGCGGCGGGGAAACAAGGGACCAAAGTATTTTCAATGGAAGCTGTGTATTTGTTGAGAGAGGTGGGAGACGGAGCTCCAGGGAGAAAGAAGGAGAAGAAGAGAGGGGAAGGAGAGAAAGAATAAAAACGAGGATGTGAGATGGCCTTCGTGGAGGTCTGTCCTCGGTACCGTCTGGTGTCTTACTCTTTCTGGACATGGACTGTTTGCCAGGAAGCTCCCCCACATTTTGGCTGTCATGCGGGGAATCTGCATCTTGGTCGTTGGATGTGGCGCTCGGAGAAGTCCTCCGTAGGCGGTTAGAGAGCCGTTTCGGGCAACGTGCTGTCGAGGCTGTCGGTGACACTGCCGAATGTGAGCCGCGAGTTTTGTCTGACGCTTTTACCCAGAATGTACGTAAATAACTACAAGGGACACGGTTGTTGCTAAACTGCAGAAACGTCGTCGTTGCTAGGATGCGCCATGGAACGTCTGCAAGGTATTAATCACATACATGTACATGTACATGCCTTCATGGTTCGTCCAGGGAGATCAGTGCCTCGAAAACTTGCCGCTTTCATTACTTCTCTGCCAGCATCGACCTCATGCTATACAAGCTAAGCCTCGCCATTACGTCAAATGGTATCTCATAAATTCCGCCCGATCCGTTTCCCCGGCCATGCTTCAACTTGGCATGATAGAGACAATTGAATCATCTTATCCCTGCCATAGATATACACCCAGAAACTGCATTTAACCGCGTCGTCATGATAGTAAATATGCCTCCCCCAGCCTTGGTTTGGATACAAATAAAGAAGAAAGAAAAAGACGAAAAGAAAAGAAGGACAGCGGAATCGTTCGTCTAGGTATTACAACGTCATGTATCAGTTCAGGCAGCAACAAGTCCCATCGCCGTCACGATCCATCCGGCATGTAACTGCCTTTGCTAGAACTCGCCGTCAACGGAGTCATCTGCGCCGATGAGCTGCTGTCGCTCGGGGTCATTGGTTCGACCACCTGGCTTCGAACAGCCATGATCCATTCGTGCTGAAGAAGCTCCACGGCAGATGGCCGTTCCTTTGGGTTTCGTATGAAGCACTTGGACAGAAAATCAAGCCCTGCAGGGCTGACTTGGTCAGCTGTTGGAAGCTGCGGCGGGTTACCTTGTGCAATGTTGTACATGATGGCCCATTCGTTATCCAGGTTGGCCCAGGGCCGTCGACCAGTGGCCATTTCCAAAACGACGCAGCCGAGCGACCAGATGTCCACAGAGCCCGCTCGTCCCGGGTTCTCTCCTTTGATAACTTCCGGAGACATGTACATGGGAGTGCCCGTCATGGATTTGTTGGGTTTTGTGGCATGTAAATCCGCCGCCAGCGTACGTCCTTGGCGGGCGATGACCTTGGCAGCCCCAAAATCCACATACTTGATAATTCCATTATGGTTGAGAAGGATGTCTGCAGACATACAATGTTAGCGCAAAACGTTATACGTATGAAGAAACTTAAAACACGGTAGACACGCACTCTCTGGCTTGATGTCTCGATGAGCAATGCCACTTTCATGCAGATACACCAATCCCTCCAGAAGCTGCAGGGCGTAAAAGGTAATGACTTGCTCATCCTCTATTCGTCCATGCTCGAGCAGGTTCGCTAGCGATCCTCCAGAGCAATATTCCATAAAGATGTACACACGGTCTCGATGGACTTCAATGCCGTGGTATTGCACGATATTGGGATGGTCCAATACTTCCAAGACACCCATCTCCTCTCTGATTTGCTCGGCAATGGTAGGAATCAGCTTTGGATCTTGCAGTCTGATCTCTTTGACAGCCATCAGCAGACCAGTGTCCAGGTCCATGGCCGCATACACGTTGCCAAAAGTGCCACCACCAACAAAGTGTCCCTGCTGCCACCTCTTCGTGACATTGGTTGCTGACGAGGACAAATAGGCAAGCGATCGATCGGCTTCATTGTTGGCCTCCAGTACACGACCCAGTGCGCGTCTCTCCCCTTCCTTCTCATGCCTCAGCTCATCCACAACATCCAATCGCATCAACCGCTGCTCTGTGGTGCAGCGCGAGGCCTCCTCATCGTCGAGCATTCTGTTCTTGTCCAGTTTCCTGAACTGCCCCAAAAGAGCTTCCATCCGTTCCTTTTCTGCTTGCGCTGCCAGGTTGGATCTGGCACCCATGATGTCGAAATGGGAGATCAAGAGTGACATGCAGCCACCTACCTTTCTTCTGAGCCTCTCATACTCCTCATCGCCAAGTGTAAGAATATGCTTTCCCCTGGTCATGCCCATGGCAAATTCCAGAGCCAGCACGGCCCATCTAAACGTCTTTCGATCTGAAGCAACGCAGTCGTCACAGATGAAGCTCACCCAATCAAGAGCAAGCTTGGTGAGTTTCAAATTGTTCATCTGCCGTCTATTGTGGTCCATGTAGAGTAGTGACCGTTGGCCGAACTCAGTAGCAAAGACAAAGCATGTTTGAATCAGTTCCTGGCAATCCTTCCCTTCAGCCTGTTTGCGGATCACCTCGACACTGTCCATGAACGTGCTGGACAGCTTGTAGGCCACCCGCCGAATCTCCACAAGTCTCACGTTGACTTTGTGAATATTGGACCTAGACTCCTGGCGTAGATCCAGGTGCATATCCACTGCGTCAAGGAAGGCCTTTCTTGCTTCCGGTAGTGCCTGAGACCCTGTTGCGCACAACCGAGCCTGACCCCGTTTCAGATCGATATTCTGTTCTCGTAGAGGCACATCGACTTTTTCTCCAAACCAGTGGAAACTGCCTTCTGGTCGCAGGATGAGGAGATATTGCTCGCCCAGGTCTGGAAACCGATCTATCGAGGTCACAGCCATCATTGCTTGCATGTCGTCCAACTTGCCGTGAAGCTCCGGAGATGCAATAATATATTTTTCTTGCTTTTCATACACCCCGGTTTGTAGAAGGAAGTGGCCGGACGCTACTAGTTGATCGTAAAACTTTTGCATAGTCTCTGGCGGAAAGCAAATGCTGAAATCAGAAGAATGCTCATAATTGTCGCTAAGCATTCTACCGAATCTTTGCAGCATCCGTTGGCGAATACGTACGGAATCGAGACAGGCCTTGTATCGCTTGCTCATATCGGTGGCGCTTTCTTTGGGTTTTACCTGCAGCTCCTTTTCAAACGTTTCACTCAAACGGTTCAGCGCCTTGAATGTTAGGGAGCTGAATTGCTCTGCTACCTCGATTTGGCCACCCTGTAAGTGACTTCCAATGTAGTTGGCAAAGTCCCATTCTTGAAACAGTAACTCTGCTTCTTTGAACGAATTCTTGTTTCCGCTTAGTTTCCAATTCAACATCTTGAAATAGTACTTGAGCGCTTCCAACACAACCTGATCGAATGACTCATCGATACACGGTGGTAGGTCCCAGCCGGGTTCGGGGCTTTCAATAGAAAGATACTCCTGCTTGATTCTAATGGCAAACTTGAGGAGAAGTTGGAACTGTGAAATCATCTGTTCTTGCATCATTGGATTCTGCTGAGCGGCCTCTTTAACTCTCTTAGCGTATTCGAGACGTGTCTTCGTGATTTCCTCAATGAGCCGAGACGGGAAACTGATGAGGGTCAACAGTTCCTCTAGATATGGCGGTAGGTGACGTTTTCGGAAGGGCGCAGAGTTGCGAATAAGCGTCTCTTTGGCTTTGCTAATGATGGAAGAAATAGGCCAGAGCATACCCTTCTGGGGAGTTCGCTCATCGTCGTCGTAGAGGGATTGCAGGCCATCCTCTTTCATCAATCTATCGAGGAAAGACGTCTCATCATTCGTGATGCCGTCCACAGCAGGTGACCTTTGTTTGGTGCGAGAAAAGTCTAGTTCTTCATTTCCAACCCACTTCTTCAAAATGGACAGTTCCGTATTGATCATCTTGTTCGTGTTGTACCAGGAAAAGATGGCCTCATAGGCCTCATGGAATTGAGGCGAGGCAGCCGTTTTGTGTTCCGCTGCCAGGGATTGCCATGAGGGATAATGACTCTCGCACTTCTCGATCTTCTTCACAATATCCTGGACCTGCTCGTAAGGTGGTTTCCCAGCCACACTCTCGCCCTTGACCTCAAAATTGACGATGTCGTCCAAGAGTCGATCAACCGTGCTCCGAGCCTCTTCGACCATGCGTTTCTGGACTGGAAGCTGTCTGCCGCAACATTTGGCCCGAACTCCGAGCCACAGTTCTGACCTGTGGGCCGTTTTACTGGCCTGTTGGTCTGAAGTACCAATAAGCCGCTTCTTTTCTTGACGAACAACGTCGCCAGTCAAGACGGCCTCGAGCATGGCGTACCACTCAAGCCTATCCCTGTTGTTCGGGTCATTCATGTCCTCCTCGGTTGGTAGCAAGTTATCGCTGCCGTAAAACATGTTGGTTTCTTGATCGGGGCCGATATCATATGGTCCTTCGGAATTCGGTGTCTCGCCCTCGGAGTCGGAGTCGTTCCCGTTCATTCCTTGGTATGATGAAAAATATTCTCCAGAGGCGGCATCATGCCGAAGCTTCTGGATATAGGCTCGTTCTTGTGCTCGAAATCTACTCTCGCTCTGCCTGGTCCGGGTCTTGGACGACGACCGCATGGACTCGACGAACGGCTGGGTCTGCTGCGATGGCCGCGGTTTTCGAGATGTGGCCGGGTTGTATGTATTGGACGGAGTTCTGGCTGGGGCAAGCGGTCGCTGTGGTCGGCCACCATTGGCATACGGAGTGCCGTCATCGCTTACATTGTTCCACTGCGTCTTCGAGCCAACACCAACACCATTGACAACAGTCTTGGCGGGTATCGACGCAAGAGAACTGGCATGCGTGGGGGCGTCAACATATCGGTTCAAGTCGTTGATTTCGCTGTGCCCCTCTATAGCGTTCGGTTCGTCCTCGGACCCGGGTGACGAGTTGACAGCATCAGGGCTGACGACTACCGACGGTCTTCGTGG